CCACTCGATGGCGGACATCCTACTCCGAGAAGAGGACCTCAAGTTCGCCTCGACCATGGTCCACACCCTCAACACCATCCTGCTCACCTCCACCGAGCTCTTCCAGCTGCGGAACCAGCTCAAGGACCTGAGGACACTGGTACCGTGCCTGCGGGCTCTGGCTGGGGAACCCTGTGTGCACCCGGGCACCGGGCACCCGTCCTGCCAGCCCGCCCTCAGCCCCAGGAGGCTCTCTGGGAGGAGACGGATGAAATTGGAGATCTCCCTGGGCCAGTGTAAAACATGGACGCCCCTGGGCTGAGCACAGGAAGCGACAGCGTGGGAGTGAGTCCCAGCTGGCTCCTTGAGCAGCTGCGGAGGCCTCTCCGAGGAGACCGTGTGCTTTACTCGGGTCCACGCACCCTCCCTGACCCATCAAAGGCTGTGCCTTTTCTCCCATTGACACCCCACTCCCAGCCTGGCGCTGCCCCCTGGCACACAGGGTTCTGGACTCGTGAGGGACCCAATGGGTGATGCCCTCTGGATGCTACCTCCCTGTCAGGGCCAGGCCTGTGGCTGTCACCCTGCCGGGGATCGGGTTACTGTTCTCATTGCCCTCCTCTTTGGCCCGGGCCCTGTTCCCCAGCAGCTAGACCATGTGTCCCAAAAGGCACCCTGTCGGAAGCCAGGGTATCATAGGGCTGCCCGTCCCAGGCTTGGGGTGAGGACCTCCCAGGGCTGATCAGAGAGCAGAAAGGCACTCACCATCCTCCCATCCTGCTCTGGGGGCCATGGTCAAGGTCATGCTCTCCAGGGGTGGGGGCTGAGTTGCAGATGGCCTCCAGGCCTTTCGTTCCCCTATCTGGTCTGTGGCCACCACCCCCACACCCTCCTTCCCAGCTCAGACCCTGCATCCATCCCTCTCAGGGTGCCTCCGGGACAGCCACGCCTGGTCTGAGGGCATCTGGGGCCAAGAGGCTCGGAGCGATCCAGGCCACACCCCTGCCTCCTTCCTGTGGTTCCTTTCAGACATTCGCAGAGGCCTTAAGAATTTTCCTCAGGGCAGGGGCTCCCCCGAATGTGGGTTCAGCTCCTGGGCTGGTTTCCGAGTGCAAGGTGGGCCACAGAGAGGGAGGAGATGTGCCGTTTGAGGACGAGGGGAGGGTGCTACAGGGAACCGCCACCCCACCCGCAGGCTGTGCCCTCCCGCACAGCCCTCCCAGCCCCACACACTCCGGACCACAGGGTCCTGGAGGGGACAATCACTGTTATTTGCCGAGAGCAGAAATGCCAGCACGGAGGACGGGCTCCCCCACCGGGCCCTGTCACCACACGTGGCTCGGTGGGGCCTGGAGTAATGACAGGGTCCGGGAGGAACTGTCAGCATTTCCTGTGACAGCGGTTCCCAGCGGGGCTGCCAACAGCTGGCTCCCCACACGGGCCCTTCCCGCTCAGGTCCCCACATGGACCCCGGGGGGAGGAGCAGGTGAGGAGGCACGGGCCCTCTGCTCACTGCTCATGCCTCCCCCAGGAGAGCCAGGACCTGTTCTGCTGCCTGTACCGCTCCTGGTGCCACAACCCCGTCACCACGGTGTCCCTCTGCTTCCTCACCCAGAACTACCGGCACGCCTACGACCTCATCCAGAAGTTGTATCCTTCGCTGTCAGTTCTTCCGGTCCAACCGCTGGAGGGGGGGGCCCACTGCCATCCTCCTGCTCCCAGGCCCGTGACATCAGGACGGATGGGTGCCTTGAGGGAGGAGAGCTGGCCCTGGAGAAGCCGCATAGGCTGGGGGTTGGGGCTGAGGGACCAGGTGCGGGAGCCGGGGAACGGGCAGGGGCACCTGCTCACTGCAGATCGGTGGGCCCTGTGCTGGGGCGGCGGGAGGAAGGCCTGAGAGTAGGCGGGGGCGAGCCTGTAGGCTGAGCTGAGTGCTGGTGCTTAGGGACCTTCAGGGGCCACAGAGCCAGAGCTCGGCGGTGACCCAGGGGCAGAGCTGGCTGACCAGGGGGCCTCAGAAGAGGGAAACCTCCCCGACCCCCCTCCCCCCAGCCCACTCAGGGCCTGCCTCGGCGAAGGGCATCATGGTCACATTTTGTTTAAAATACTGTGCAGCAAACCAGCCTCCTCCGGGAATGCCTGGCGTGACCTCACTGGGAGAGCTGCTCAGATGCAAAATCGGTCTCCTTCCCTGAGGGGCTTGGAGTTGGGGTTCAGGAAGGAGGGGCCCTGAGGAGTCTCCTTTGAGGGTCAGCCATGGCCTTGCCTGGCTCCCTCAGTGCTGCTCCCCTTCCACACCCTAGATTTGCTTCTCTCGGTCATTGGTGACCAAGGGACCACAGGCCACACCTGCCGCAGCCCTGACCTTGGCCAGGCTGGCGGCGTCCACTCAGGCGGGAGCAGACCCTTCCTGCCCAGCCCTCCCCACAGGCTGCAGGCCCGCGATAAGTGAGGGCCTTTCAGAGCCCAGGATCGCAGGGGAGGGAGCTGCCGGAGCAGAGCCGGGTGCCGTGCCGCGGGGACAGCTGTGCGCTTCTCAATTAGAGGGACACAAAGGCAGCGGGATGGACTAATGCCCTTCGCATGCGGAATCCTGCTTAGGCAGAAGCAGCTCTGTGCCTCGAGAGCCGGACCGGAAGGAGGAGGGTCGCTCTGAGCCGCTGGGTCAGGTCCCTGGGTCCCAGCTCTCCAGCTGCCGCCCCTCCCCGTCAGGGCCCTCCCTGAGACAGGCTGTCCTGGCCCAGGGCAAAGACTTTCCTTGACTACCCACCAGCGGGGACCTGGAGGTCACTGTGGACTTCCTCACGGAGGTGGACAAGCTGGTACAGCTGATCGAGTGCCCCATCTTCACATGTAAGGCCCTGCCTCTCGCCTCTGGCCTTTGGGTGGCCTGGAGTGAGGCGGCCTGAAGTGAGGCGGGGTGAAGCCACACTCAGAAGAGGGAGGGGGTGGAGGGAGGGCAGTCACCCCAGGGGTACTCTGGAATGTCAAGAATGGAAGACTGGGGAGGAGATCAGGTCTGAAGAGACCAGACGCAGCAGGGCTGGGACATGTGGCATCAGAACCTGCCCGGGTGCCTCAGGGTGGGGCTTGTGGACACGCCAGCGCCGACAGCAAAACCCACTGAAGGTGAATATCAGCTGCCGGGAGAACTGGAGCAGTGCTGTCGGGACAGGTGGGCAGCTGTCCCAGCGCCGTGCCAGCCCCTCCTCCAAGCACGCCACTCTGCCCTGGCTCTTGGACGCTGTGGGGACCCTTGGCCCACCTGCAGGCTCCTATGTGCCCAAGAGCCACACGCTCATCTCTCCGCAAAGCAGAGTTGGCATTTGCTGGGAGCCGACGGGTGGGAACTGCCTGATCGTAACACCCAGGCTGAATGTGCAAAAGTGGCAGCTGGCTGTGGCACACGCGGCTCTTGGCGCCTCAGACACGGCGACTGCATGCAACGCGTGCGCTTTCAGTGCGGTAGGAAGCCAGCCACCCAGGCCTCCTGCTCTCTGGCAGCGCCTGTGACCTGCCAGGCTGAGCCATCAGTCTTCACTCTGGAGCCCAAAGGCAGATGCAGGGGCCGAGGACACCACCCCTTCCACCCAACCAAACAGAGGGCAGCTTTCCAAACAGCCAGGCCCATGCTGCCCGATGCCTGTGGGACACGTGGGGCGGGGGGGACCTGCTCCCCGTGGAGTGCACCTGAGCCTGTCCCAAGGGTCCCCTGAGCTAATCTCACTTCCCTGGTGGCCTCCCAGGCAGCCAGGCACATGCTCCCCTGAGGTCAGGTCCATCCCCGACCCTAGAAAAGCGACAGCATCTCCTCTCCAGGCCCAGGGCTTTGTTGGGGCGACCACAGCAGATGCCTCCCTGGTCCTGCCGAGCGCCCGTTCTAACAGCAGGGCTCGGGGGTTTGGACCCTGATAGGCCCACGCTTCTGCTGGAGTTGAAGGCGCGGGGATGACTGCTCAGGTCTCCCCTGGTGGCCTCTGCCACCTCAGAAGGGGCGGGCTGCAGGAGGCCCTGCTTCCTAGCTTTCCCAGCCCCAGGGCCTGGCTGCTCCCTAGCTCAGCATCAGCCCAGACGCTGCACAGCTGCTGGTGGCGTGGCCTCTCTGGGAGTGTGTGTCACCCTCCACAGAGGGTACCCAGCTGGGCCTAGAGACACGAGAAGCTAGAGCCAGTGACTGTCCCAGGGGGGCTCAGAGGAGGGAGGGCTGGGCCTGTGTAGTTGGGACGGGTGCTGGGCAGGGCCAGGGCTGTGTCTCCTCCCACCCAGTGGGGTGGTGGCAGGACTGGGATCTGAGGTGGATTCCAAAGCCCCTCCCAGACACCCGTGGGATGTGTTTCAGCCCCACACGAAAGTGCTTTCCACCTTGCCCTCCCTCCGCGGTCCTAGCCCAGCCTCTCCAGCCCACCTGCCTAGCTCGTGCTGGCTTGTGCAGCACAGAGGGGACCTGCTACAGTACAGCCCACGCCCCTCCTTACCAGGGAGGCGGTGAGCACAGGGCAGGGACAGCCCAGCGGCAGGTTGGCGTCGCCAGGCTGAGGTGACTGTTGGGAAGATCAGACAGGCAGTGGTAGGAAGAGAGCATGATGAGGTCAGGGGACAGCGAGGCGCTGCTGGCTGGGGGCAGGAGTGGTACCTGGCTGTTGAGCCCCTGCCTTGTTCTCTGCCACGGCCCCCTGGCTGGCCCTGTCCTGGCCAGGCTCTTAACCCCTGACCTCTGCTCTCCTGCAGATCTGCGCCTGCAACTGCTGGACGTGAAGAACAACCCGTACCTGATCAAGGCCCTCTACGGCCTGCTCATGCTGCTGCCCCAGAGCAGCGCCTTCCAGCTGCTCTCCCACCGGCTCCAGTGCGTGCCCAACCCCGAGCTGCTGCAGACCGAGTGAGTGCCGGGCGGGGGCCTGCGCCCGCTGCCTCCATGGGGAGAGGCATCGCCACCCAGCAAGGGCAGGGCCGGGGGGCCTGGTGAGGACGCTGTGCCTCAGGGGCTGCCAACGGTCTCCTTGCCTGGGCATCACACCCCTCTCTCACCTCAGACCCTGTCCACCCACAGCCACTTGCCTGTGGGCCTCTCATTTCCATATCAGAACAGCAGGCTGGGGGATTCTGGGAGTAGGTGGTAGTGAGACCTTCTCTAAGAACCAGGGTTAACCTAAAAATCAGAGGTAGCGTGCACCTGTGGCTGCACTGTGCGGGCGCTGCCCATAGGAAGAAAAGGTATAGACACACCTCTGCCAAGAGGCCCAGCATGGGCAGCTCTAGCAGGAGGCTGCGGCCCCTGGGGGGTCGAGGCTCCCACCCGAACACACTGCTGGCCTGGCCCCTGGAGCCTGTTGGGCCTTGTCTATATTTGGTAACCCTTGGAGGCTTCGCCTCATCCACAGGCATTTGGCATCCGAGATGGAAAATTTCACTTGTCAGGTCGCCATGGAAACAGGCAGAGCCACTGAGAAGATTTACGCTGAATGGAGCGCGCCCAGCTTGCATCAGATGCCCTGTGTGTCTAGAATTCCCTCCCAGGCTGTTCAGGCCGCTCTGCAGGCCTGGCGTCTCGCTCCTGAAAGGGCCTCGCGCCTTTGCCATTGGCATGGATGCAGGCAGCCTTTCGATGGGCTTGCCCGGCACACAGCCCCTGCTCCGAGCCTCTATGCCCTGCAGGGCTCAGCCCACCACCCCTCCCACCCGCCTGGCCTTGGCACAGGCTGGGTGTGGGCACCTGACTGCTGGTCTGCCCCAGGCCAACTGGAGGGGCTCGAGCCCTCAGCAAGAGTGGTCTCCAGACCAAGGCCCAGCTCCTGCCCACCCTGACCCTCTCCCCAGCAGCAGCTCTTCGGGGCGGCGGTGCTGGCACTATCCCGCTGCTCTTGGTGCCACCGGGGAGTCCCAGGGGAGCAGAGAGCAGCTGAGGAGGTGGGTTTGCGTTTGGGGAGAGAGGCCTTGAAGCCACACTGCTTCGCTGGCCTCTACAGGGGCCTTCACAACACCTGGTGGGTGTGAGGGTGGCGCCGGCAGGCGCTTAGGAAGGGGGTGCGGTGGGAGGGGAGGAGGAGGTAGGCAGGCTCTGGTACTCCCTTTCGGGAACCAGCCTGCCTTGCTGGGGAGACCTCAGGCCAGGCCATGGACCCTGTGCTGCTGGGCCATTCCCTTCTCCGAGCTCCGCCCCCTACTCTCCTCATCTCAGAATAGAGGGACCCTCCCTGCACGCCCCAAGCCAGGGCAGAGCGAGTCTGCACAGGGACGCTAGGGAACCGAGCATTCGTTCTGTTTGCCGAGGTCGGGACATCCCCAGGCCTCCATAGGGACCTGGCCCCAGCTCTGACCTCAGGCAAGCCCCACGCTTTCTCTGGGTTTCTTCCTCGGGAAATGAACATTGGGACTAAATGGCTGCTTCAGGGCTGTGTTCCCAGCCATTCTTATCGGGGACCCAGGCGGACAGGCCGGAGCAGTAGGTGAGGAGGGGCCTCGGGAACAGCTGGGAGGTGGGCACAGGGACAGCGCACACCCTGGAGAGGACAGTCTCAGCCCTGGGAGGGACAGGCAGCTGGGGGACAGCGTCAGGTGCCTGACAGGCCTGCAAGCAGGGAACAGCTGAGGGAGTTCCTGGGCCCTCGCCCTCCCTCATTCTGTGGGCTCAGGGCTCCCACAGGGCTAAGGGAGCCTGGCCCCCCTCAGGCTTCCCAGCCACTCCCCAAAGACCATCTCCTGGGTGAGGCTGGAGGGACCCTCCGAAGGAAAAGCTGTGACGCTCACCACAGTAGCCTGGTGACAGGTGTGTGGGTGGGGTGGCAGGAGAGGAGCCCCAGCTCTGCTGCTGGCGGTGTCCTTCAGGCATCACTGCCTAAGGGTTGCAAACATGAAGGACCCGTGCGAGGCCCCCGGTGGCTGTGCCCTCTGGGACGCAGGGAGAGGAGCCCTGACCCCCATGGGACATACCCCTCCCTGCGCCCATGACCTCAGGCCAGGAAGGGTCTACCCGCAGGGAGGCTGAGTCCCTGGGGACAAGACTAATTGTCTAGAGAGCAAGGTACAGCCCACTCCTCCCAACCCCCACACGTACCCTGGCCACATCTTTGCATATCACCCTGGGTTTGCCATTCATTGCTGGCATCTCCATGGAAACCCCTCATCTCGCTCCTGGGGCCTAATGCCGTGGCTCACCAGGAGTGTTGAGGGAGCAGCATACAGACCCATGAAACCCCGGCGGCAGATGACATGTTTCAGGGTCATCTCTGGCCTCATGTTTACAGGCTTGGGTTGGGGTAGCATCCGGCCACCCCCTGAAATTAGAGGTCCGAGCTCCAGGGTGTTTCTCGGCCTCCTCAGAAACCCAGGTTTCTCTCAGGACAGTGGCACCTGTGCCACAGAGTGACTGTGACAGGAGGTCCCTGCCTGCCATCTGGCCCCTAGGACAGCCCCACTTTTTGATCTTCGTTGAACTAATGTTCAACAGCTCAGGAGGCAAGGCCTGAGGCCCAGAAAGCAGCAGCCCCAGCAACCAGCCAAGGTGTTTGCAGGTGATGCACCTTCACAAGAAGGCAGGGAGGGAGCAGGCTGAGGGGCAGGGGCCACCTCCAGGCTCCGGGTGGCCGACCATGGGAGGGTCCACGCTGCCCTGGCCCCGGCCCAGCACCCCAGTGGAGGGTCAGCAATGCTGCTCAGGCGCAGACCATCGGGCGCCTGTACCTTATCAGGAGCCAAGCTCACTGCTGAGGGGTCCGTGTGGGTGAAGCACCATCGTGTTTCCCCCAAAATGAGCAGCTCATGTGCCTCAAGCTCCTGGCCCCGGCTGGTCACTTCCAAGGGCAGAATGGTAGCCATGGTGGCTGCCCATCAGGTACCTAGGCAGGGGCTGGAGAAATCCCCCTTCACAGATGAGGAAACCGAGTCACCCAGTGTTTAATGGCTAGGAAGTGGTCAGGTTACCACTGGGTCATACCTGTCTAGCTCCTGTGCCTGGCTGCTGCCCGGACACCCCCACTGGGGTCTGTTCATGAACTCACAGGACCCAAGGATTCTCACCAACAGCCCAGAGCCTTCCTGAGACCCTTCCCTAGAGCTCCAAGGACCCCCAGGTAACTGCCGGCCACACAGCTCTGCCCCCCAGGCCAGTGCGGTTCCGTGAAGGAGAGCAGAGTCTATCGGGACTGCAGGGATGGCGAATGGGACAGGGGCCTGAGGGGATCTAGTCCCCAAGGGCAAGCTAAACACTGATTTGAAGGGGCAACAGGGCTACTAGTTTGCACAACTGTAGGGAGTACCACGCACATTGTAAGTGTGCAGTGCACAACTCCTGCTGCTGTACCGAGCAGCTGGGGAGGGTGGTAGCAACAGGAGTGGTAGGAGCCATGGGCATGCCCAGCGCTGAAACCAGCTTTCCTTCCCCAGGGACAGGGCCTGCCTGCAGGCTTCTGGGTCCCAACACTCAAAAATGTGTCCTGCCAACTGAGGGCCCAGTGGAGACCCTTCAGCCTCCCTGCTGGCCCTAGCCCTGCCCCAGAGAAAGGGCCAGCTGCCTCCTCCCCCATCCCTGACCCTGTTCCAGGCCCCAGCTGGCTTCCTGGCTGGCTGCAGGCCCTGGCTGTCACCCCAAAGGGAGCCACTCGTAAACAGGAAATGCTTCCCAATGCAATGCCTGCTCTGGGCGCTGTTGCCAGCCCACAGGCTGGAGGCCATGTCCAAGCCACAATGTTGACTGGTCTCTCCAACTGCCAGGGAGGGGAAGCTCACGGGGCTCCTCAACTCTTTGGGGCTATTGAGGAAGGGGTGCTGGGCCCGAAGCAGCCAACTCCCCGCTATGGAGTTCCACCACCTGTGGCCCTGCCCTCCTGTGTCTGGAGCTGCCTCCCTCCAGCAGCACGTGTGCCAGGACATTGACACCGCGCCCTTCTGCTCCCTCTCCCCAGAGACGGTCTGAAGGCAGCCCCCAAATCGCAGAAAACGGACTCCGCCAGCATCGACTATGCAGAGCTGCTGCAGCACTTTGAGAAGGTCCAGAAGAAACACCTGGAAGTGAGGCACCAGCGGAGTGGGCGCGGGGATCACCTGGACCGCAGGGTTGTTCTCTGACAGGCCTGGCGTGGAGAAGGGCCCAGGAGTGGTCCCGTGGAGCACTGGGATCCTCAGGCCCCTTCCCATCGAGCCTGACGACCTGCCTCGGGAGCAGGGCTGGCCCTGCCACAGCCCAGGGATGGGAGCAGGGGTGAGGCTGCTGTCTACCCGAACTCCTCTCCACCCAGCCCCCTGGACCCCGCGCTGTCCAGCATTCAGATAGAGCTGGCTTCCGACCAGGGTGGGGCCACGGCCTCAGACAACACCTATCCTCTGGAATGGTCTCTTTCTAGCACCCTCTGTGAAAGAGCTTGACCTCCCGGCCCACCAGAGCCCTGGCCTCATGCGATGTGTGTATACGGAGCTGTGTGCACATAGGGGCCAGCACAGAGGTCCCTGTGAATGATGCATTCCCTGCCCCAATAAAGAAATGACAGGAAACCCTCAGCTTGTGCCTGCCTGCTCCTTCCCACTGGCGCCTGCCCCTGCCTGATGCTGCAGCTGCCCCAGGACCTTGCACCTATCCTGGAGACAGGGCTCATGGTGGCCCCCAGGAGGGCTAGCTTCGCGGGGAGTCTGGTTACTACACACTCACTTGACAGGTGTGGGCCTTGGGGGACCCAGCTCACCTCTAGGAACTGCCCCTACTTCCCAGAAAGCACCAAGCACTGGCCTGCCTGGAACCCGGAAACCCCTCCCAGGCACCTGCTCTGACTTCCATCCTGATTGCCCAGGGACCATGGGACACGTCCCCACTGGTCACATGGACTGAGCGCACCTCCGGAGTGTCTGAATGAAAGGGCATGCGCACTGCAGAACTGCGGCTCACGGGTGGGAAGGAGGGGACGTGCCCAGGTGAAGCTTCCCCTGGATTGGGCTAAATGAGCCTCACCTAGCCGCACCTGTAGGCCCTTGGCCTCACACTTCGGGAGCCTCTGATTGGCCTAAGGGCTCTTAAGTGGCTCTCAGGACCCGTGGGCGGGGGTGGAGCGAAGGAGCTTTCCCAGAGCAGCGTCTCTGGGCGGTGGGTTTCACTGCTGGAGTCTCCAGGGTCCTGGTGTAGGATGGCCCATTTCCGCCCTACTGGACCAACACGGTCCCACCACCCAAGAAGGGTTGCCAGCGGACCAGGTCACTGCTACCCCCGACCGCCAGGCACCCCATCAGGGTGGCATCCGCGCCACTTGGAGCAGGAGCGAAACTACTGGTGGAGCAGGGTCCGAACTCCTCCGCCTGGGATGGAGCGCCCGGGGCGGGCGGCCCTCGGGACACCTCGTGCTGTGCGCGCTGTGGCCGACCTCGGGGTGCTCCCAGGGGACCCCAGCCCTCCGCGAGGCGGCTGGTC